TTGTGCATGGACCCCCTATTCTTAATGGTATATCTAAAAATTTCCACATATGATCCTCCTCCATTTCAGCTGGTATTTGCCATCTGTAAAGGATACAAAGTGGGATATTCGCTTGTCAACAATTGCTACTGGTGTGTCAATATGTTATTGTTATTGTTGTTGTTGGGTGCTGGTTTGTTGGCTACAACTCATAGCAAATCAACAAACAATATATCTGCATCTGCCCTGCGTCGTCCTCATGATCCCTGCCACGGTCAAGCTCATTGTTCAGTCTGTGTCAATCCATTTTTTTTGAGGGTCTTCCTTCTGATCCTTCTGATCTTCAACCTTTTCCAGAATTATGTCCCTCTCCATGAATTGGCTCCTACTGAGTACAAGCCTAATGTAAGATAAAATTTCACTTTTCATCTTTGCCTCTAAGGAGCACACTGGTTGTACTTTCTTCAAAACAAATGTGTCTGGGGTTTTGGCTGTCCAACATGCCTCTGGAAACTCTATGAACTTTTATAAAGGTTGATAGTTCTAGAAAGGCTACAGGCTTTTTGTTCATAGGGTCACTATGAGTTGTGCTTAACTTGAAGGCAATCAACAACAACAACACAAAGTATTTTCAATACTTTATGCCAACACCACATCTCAAAGTCATCATCTTCTTCTTTGTTCTTTATTCATTGTTCAATCTTCTCTTTAGAACTTTGGAGAGGACTTTGACAGCAGACTTTCCCAATGTGACACATCTTTTGATTTCTTGGCTGCTGCTATCAAGCATATTGATTGTGGATCCAAGTAAAATAAAATCATTGGTAACATCAATTATTCCTCCATGTATCATGAAATTGACTATTGGTCCAGTGGTGAGGATTTTTGTTCTCTTGATTTGAGATGTAACCCATGTAAAAGACTAATTTTTTTGTCTTCTTTGGAAAATGTTTCATGTTTTCATGACTTTCTACAAGCATGGCTGTGTCCTGTGCATCAGTCATATTATTGATAAGTCTTCCTCCAATCCTAATGCCACAAGTATTCTTCATATAATACAGCTTCCCAAATATTTGCTCATCACAAAGATTGAATAGATAGGAGGAAGGATCCAACTCTGATGCGCACCTTTCCCAATTTTAAACCATGCCATATTTTTTGTTCTGTTCTGATAACTACTTCTTATCTTATGTAGAGGTTTTGCATGAGCATAATTGAGTGTTCTGGATTATCATTTTTTTACCATGTTAACCATAATTTGTTATGATCTACAGAGTACAATATGATTTTGAAGGCAATAAAACACAAGTAAACATCTTTTTAATTCTCTGCTTTCCGTCAAGATCTATCTGACATCAGTGATGATATCCCTTGTTCATAGGCTCTTCTGAATGCAACTTGAATATCTGGAGGTATGGACTTTTAAAAATCCACGTTATAATTGACTTTAAACTGAAATAGGAAAGTTGTAAGTGAAAATTATAATATTCAAAACAAAAATTACATCTCCTGAAATTCTAAAAGGGTCTTATTAGCCTTAAAAAGAAAGGATCTCAGGAAGTTAATAGAATTTTATATTTGGATACTAATCAAAAGTTAGTTCAAATTCTCAAGCTGTTCCATGAGGGAGGCATGTGACAGGCAGCTTCCATAATGGCATATAGTCTTTGAAACAGTATAGAACATTTATACTTTATCTTTTAAAGCCCTTGTGAGTCAGATGGACTGGCATTGCTGATTTGAATCAGATAAGCATGTGATCTACTAATCTGGGAATGAAAAGATGAAGAAGAATGGTGGTGTACTCATAGTAAAAAAGACTATTTCAAGATCTATTCTGAAGTACAATGTTACTCGTGATAGCATAAAATCCATACACATACAGGGAAGACCTGCTAATACAAGTGGTATTCAAATACATGCACCAACAGCTAAATCCAAAGATGAGGAAATTGGGAAATTCTACCAACTTCTGCAGTCTAAAATTGACCAAAAATGTAGTCAAGGATTCTATAACTGAGGACTGTAATGAAAATGTTGGAAACAAAATAGAAGGATTGATAGTTAGAAATTGAGGATTTAGGGACTGAAAAGAGACTGGGATGATTCAATTCTGTACATTTGATGACTTATTCTTAGCAAAACAGTGTATTTGAATTTTGTAAATAAACTAGTATAATAATTTTAAAAATCTATGCTGTGCAGATGACACGAAACCCAAAAACAACCTTTTTAAGAAACACAAATGGCAACTATACATTTATACTTTACCTAATATACTGTATAGAATTCAAATTAACTACATATGTGGAAAGAATCATTAGAGAAGCACAATATCAGCAGTCAAAATCAGGTGAGATTTCTTAATTAATCATGTACAACTTCAAATATAAGTTGAAGAAAATTGAAACAAGTCCATAAGAACCAATGTACTATCTTGAGTTTATCCCATTTGAATTTCTAAATTATCTCAAAAACAGATTTGAGGAATTATACACTAGTGATTGAAGACCAGAGAGTTGTGGGATTATATCAAAGATATCATCGATGAAGAGACAAAAGATCATTACAAAGACAGAGGAGAAAGAAAAGACCAAAACAGCTGTCAGAAGACATTCTAAAAATTACGCTTTGATTTAGACTAAAGGGATTTAATTAACAAATTAGAAAAAGAAAATCAGAAAGTAGGTAAGATAAAAACCCCATCGTGATCAGGGAAGGAGTTCAAGCTGTGTTAAAGGTAAGCATACAAGCAAGATACTGCTGAAAATTATCAAAAAACAACTGGAGCAACATGTCAACAGAGAACTGTCAGATGTGCAGGCTCGGTTAAGAAGAGGCCATGGTACTATGGGTATTATAGCTAAAGTTAGATGGATCTTGACAGAAAGAAGAATATCAGAAGAATGTCTATCTGTGCTTCATTGACTATGCAAAGGCTTTTGACTATGTGGATCACAAGCTGTGGCTGACTCTGAGGAGAATGGGAATCTCAGAACATTTGATTGTGCTAATGCAAAACCTATACTTGGACCAAGAGGCAGTTGTCAGAGCAGAGAAAGGAGACACCACTACATGGTTCAAAATTGGGAAGGGTGTACACCAGGGATGTATTCTGTCTCCATACGTTTACAATCTCTATGCAGAACAGATCATCCAGGAGGCTGGGCTGTATAAGCAGGAATGTGGCATCAGCATTGGTGGAAGATTCATCAACAACCTGCATTATGCAGATAACACACACCTGCTTGCTGAAACTGAGAAGAACCTGAAGTGCTTGCTGCAGAAGGTCATGGACTGCAATATTGATTAAAGCTCAATATCAAGAAAACAAAGATTCTCATCACTGGACCAATTGGCAGCATCAGTATGGATGGTGAAGAGATTTAAATAGTTAACAGTTTTAATTTCCTTGGCTCCACAGTCAACACTCTTGGTACCAGCAGCCAGGAAATTAAGAGATGAATTGCATTAGGAAAGTCATCTTTCAGGGACCTCTCCAGAGTACTGAAGAGCAATGATGTCAGGCTGGAGACTAAGATGCACCTGATCCAGGTTATAATCTTCACAATTGCATGCTATGCATCAAAGAGCTGGACAGTGACTAGGGATGATAGAAACAGAATTGATGCCTTTGTGCTGTGGTGCTAGAGAAGAGTGTTGAATATACCATGGACTGCTACAGAACAAACAGGTTTGCTCTGGAGAGAGTGAAGCTGGTCTGCTCCTGGCAGGCAAGGATTCTGAAGCTTCATTTGACATACTTTGGACATGTTGCAAGGAGGAACCAGTCCTTGGAGAGGGGATATCATGTTTGGAAGAGTGGAGAGATGGCGCAGGAGAGGAAGACCCTCGATGAGATAAATCAATTCAGTAATTGGGGTAGTGGGAGTTAAGTGTGTTGGAGACAATGAAGTTGGCACAGGATAGAGCAGGGTTTAGGGCACTTGTACTTAGAGTCGCTATGAGTTGCAAGTGACTCAACAGCACATAACTACAACAAAGGTATTGGTAAAAAAACAGGCACACACAAAAAGTGAAGAAGAATCAATGATCTAACTCAACAGCTTCAACAAATAGAAAAAGAAGAGCAATCTAATTCTACAGACTCTAGAAGAAAAGAAATTATAAGGATAAGAGCTGAAATAAAAGAAAACAAATGAAACTATCAATAAGATATTGATGAGCTGGTTTTTTTTGTAAGGGTCAATAAAGTTGACAAACCACTGGCAAACTTAAGAAAATGGGGGGGGGAAGAGAAGACTCAGATAACTTGATTAAGATATGATAGAGATGATATCACAGCAGAACCAGATGAAATTAAATCATTAATACCAGAATACTATAAAAAAAAAGCTATACTCTGATAAATAAAAAAAATCTAGAGGAAATGGACAAATTCCTTGAAACTCAAGCCCTACCAAGACTGGCAAGGACAAAGATAGAACACTTGAATAGACCCACCACAAAAGAAGAAATTGAAAATGTTATAAAAAGACTTCCCCATAAGTAAAGTCCTGGACCAGATGGCATCACTGCTGAATTCTACCAGATATTCAGAGAGGATCTATCATCAATTATACTTAAATAATTTCAAAAAGTTGAAAGAGAAAGAACACTTCCAAAATCATTCTATGAAGCAAGCATAATCCTAATACCAAAACCAGACAAAGATATTACCAAGAAAGAAAATTACAGAACATTATCTTTTTTATGAATATTGATGCAAAAATCCTTGACAAAATTCTAGCCAATAGAATAAAAAAACACATCAAAACATTTATCCACCATGCCCAAGCAGGAGGATTCATGACAACTATGCAAGGAAGGTTCGATATAAGAAAAATAATCAATGTACTTTACCATACTAGCAAAGTAAATAAAAAGAACCATATGATCTTTTTTTTTCTCCTGCTTTAGGATTTATTTGTACAAACAACACAGAAGGACACCAGCTCCATGCAGATGGCAGCAGCCCAGGGGGTTACACCAGTCCTTCTGTCCTCAGATTGAGAACTCAGTTATGGAGCCTTTCCAGGGGCCTGGGCACCTTTGGGAGCCTGACTTGGAGCAGGAGCCTGGGTTGAGGCCTTAGCTGGTTCCTGGGCTGCAGCCTTGGCTGGCGCCTGAGTTGAGGACTTTTCTGGAGCTTCGGTCTTGGCTTTGGATTTTAGTCGGTTAAGTCTGAGCCCCTTAGCAATGTAAGTCCTAGCATGCTTCCCAAGCCTGGGTTGGGTGATGTAGGCTAGTCAGCTGAGCTCGCAGTTGTCACCCTTTGGGATCCGGGGCTTGGCCTTTTTGTGCTTGACAAGAGCCCTTCACAGCCTTAGCACGTTCATCCATGGCTTTGGCATTGTTGGCTTGCTTCTTGTTTAGGTCCTTGTTGTTGTACTTCTTGGCAAAGCTCATGTTTCTCAGGAATTTGGGGTCTACTGCTTAAGAGACTCATATTATTGTGATCTTGGTTTCTTGATACCATTTCTGTGCCATTTTTGGGACTGGTTGTATGTGGTGTGGTTTTTGGACTTGGCCATGTCTGCACCATCTCCTCAACTCCCAGAGCACAGAATCATAAGATCTTAAAAATTGGCAGAAAAGGCATTTGACAAAATCCAACACCCCTTGCTGATAAAGACACTCAGCAAAATTGGAATAGAAAGAAATTCCCTCAACATAGTCAAAATTATATGTACAAAATCAAGAACCAATATAATTCTCAATGGAAAAAGACTAAAAGCATTTTCCTTGCAAACAGGGACCAGACAAGAATGCCCACTGTCACCACTTCTATTCAGTATTGTATTGGAAATGTTTGCTAGAGCAATACGACAAGAAAATAAAAGGCATCAAGATCAGCAAAGAGATGGTTAAACTATTGCTATATGCAGATGATATGATAATATACACAGAAAACCCTAAAAACAAAAAATCTGTCAGAGTTAGTAGGCCAGGTTTGTACAGTGGCAGAATACAAAATCAATATCCAAAAATCAGTCGGATTCCTTTATAGTAATAAAGAGAAACCAGAGAAGGAAATGAAGAAAGCAATACCATTTACAATAACCAACTACAAATTGAGATACTTGGGAGTGAACCTAACTAGAGATACAAAACACCTCTACAATGGGACTGACATTGGGTTTGGGGGGAGACTGAGAAAGATGGGATAAATTATGTATACTGCATTAAAATAGATGAGGGAGAGAACTGTTTAAAAGGGATATATGATTAGCTATTATTGCCATGACAGGAATCCATAAAGAGGGCTGCATAGTGGAGTGGACTTGGGGGAGGGATTGTATAACAGTGAAAGAATTTTTTCTTTTACTCTTCAAAGAGAAGAGCGATGGGGGGTGGGGAGGATGGACAGGGAGAAAAGTGCAAAAATGACTGGCTGGAAATCCAAAGTCTCTGTAAACTTTGATTAAAATGATTTTTTTTTTAAAAGCCCTATATACAAAGAAAATTACGGAACATTTTTGCAAGACATAATAAAAGACTAAAGAAATGGAAAAATGTACCTGTTCATGGATAGAAAGACTCAATATTGTGAAAATGACAATGTTGCCAAAAGCAATCTACATGTTCAACACAATCTCAATGCAGATACCAAATTTCTTTTTCAAGGAGCTTGAAAAGGAAATTGTGGGGCCCAATGAGAGAAATTCCTTAGGCTTGCAAAGGATTTACTGAGAAGAGAAGTACTTGAATCTATTTTCCACTGTACTTGAATTCAGAAGTTCATGAGAACTAGAGACTCCCCAATCAGTGGTAGAGATTTTGAAGATTGTGTGATTAGGACAGATGCCGTTTTGTTTTAAACAGAAGCATTGTGAGTAGGAGTTGAATCAACAGAACATAACAAACCAGGTGAGGGCAGAGCTAAGATAGTGAAAGTGAAAGAAATCAAACTAGGATGACATTGTTTGAACATTTAGTTTAAGTCCAACCCTGGGGCTTTTTCATATACATTAATAAATTCCTGTATTTTAAAGCACAGTTATGTTAGGTTTTCTGTCTCTTGCACCCATAAGATCTTGATTTGTAATAGTTGGACTAGGGAATGAATGACAAAAATCAGGTCTATATAATGGGGGGGGGGGGGGGGGGTGGGAAGAAAGGGAAATTGCCAAGTTTACTTGGAGAAGCAAGAGACCCTGAGTAAGCAAAACACTTCTGAGAAACAAAAATGAAGAGGGAGACACAGTACTCCCTGACCTCACAACCTACTACACAGCGGTAATAACCAAAATAACATAATACTGGTACAATGACAGGCACATAGACCAATGGAACAGAATTAAGAACCCAGAAAAAGACCCAACTATCTATGGTCAACTGATATTTGACAAGGAAATAAATCCTATCAGATGGTGAAATGACAATCTCTTTAACAAATGGTGCTGGTAAAATTGGACTGCCAACTGCAGAAAGCTGAAACAAGATCCACATCTCACACCACACACAAAAGTCAACTCAAAATGTGTGAGAGACCTGAAAGTAAAGCTCAAAACCATAAAATTCATAAGAGACAAACTGGTATCAAGCTTATAAGCCCTAGTTTAAGATATAAAGAGACTGTCACATACAGCCAGAAATGCACACTTTGAAAAGGATAAAATTGATGAGTGGGAACTTCTAAAGATTAAATCCCTGCTTGTATCAAAGTTGTTGGGGTTTTTTTCCAAGAAGGTGAAAAAAAACAAACAAAAAAACCCCCCAACAACACCCTACAGACTGGGAACAAACATTTAGCAATACCAGCTCAGACAAGAGTCTCATAAAGAAAGTTTACGGAATACTCCTGGGCTTTCAGAATAAAAAGACTAATATCCCAATTATGAAATGGGCAAAAGATATGAATAGATTTTTTTTAAAAGATAAATCATAGCCACAATGAGGTACCATCTCACTCTAGTTGCAATGGCAAAGTTATTAGGACAGCAAGTAGTATATGTTAAAGAGGTTGTGGCAAGATAGGAACTCTTATACATTGTTGGTGGGATTGCTCAACAGTAGAACCACTCTGGAAGGCAGTTAGAGTACCTGGAGTTTATAATGAAGCTGAACATAAAAATTCCATATGTCCTGCTATTCCATTGCTTGGAATATACCCCAAGAAAATGAAAACTGAGACACAAACGGAGACTTGTACACCAATGTTCATAGCAGCGTTATTCACCATCTCAAGAACATGGAAACAGTAAAAATGTCCAACACAAACAAATGGATTGAGAAATTATGGTACATTAACACAGTGGAATACTATGCTGCACACAGAAGCAATAATTTTATTTACTTCCTAAGTTGGGAGGGACTGGAGAGCATTACACTGAGTGATCTAACTCAGTCCTATAAAGACAAATACTACGTAAAACCATTATTGTAGAATGAGTATGAGGATCCAAGAGGGCAGAGAGTAGAAGCAGAGTGGTGAGGAGGTTCAGTTAGGGAAGATTATTCATCAGTTGCACAATTTGATGGGTGGGGAGTGCGGGAAATGGGAAGGATCTGGTTTGAAAAAGAATGCATTCATATTTTATAAATAAACTAGTAGAATATAAATGAATGATTGTATGGAACATAATGTAAATGGAAGATTATATAAAACAATGTATATGAATGAAACATACTATAAAAGTATTGTTGTTAAGTGCTGTCGAGTCATAGATGACTCATAGCGACCCTATGAACAAAAGTCCTCAACACTTGTGTGACTTTCATTCTTTCTCCAGGTTCATAGGGTTTCTGGAGGCAAGCTGTTTACAGAA